GGGGATAAAACAAGGTTGGCTAGAAGAGCAGGGAATCACATAACTTAATTAAGGGAACCACCTTAGGGTTGGTAAGAGACATGAACCTAGAGTGGCTCCCAGGTGCCCAGGGCAATGTCCTCAGTTAGTTCCTTGGGCAGCTGAGGATAGGGAACCTGAAATGACCCTATCCAATAGCCATACTGATGAATATCTTGCATATCACCATAGAACCTTCATCTAGCGACAGATGGAGATAGAGACAGAAAAGACCCACACTGGAGCACCGGACTGAGCTCCCAAAGTCCCAATGAGGAGCAGAAGGAGGGGGAACATGAGCATGGAAGTCAGGACCATGAGAGGTACACCCATCCACTGAGACAGTGGGGCTGATCTATTGGGAGCTCACCAAGGCCAGCTGGACTGTGACTGAAAAAGCTTGGGATAAAACCGGACTCTCTGATCATGGCGAACAATGAGGACTGATGAGAAGCCAAGGTCAATGGCAAGGGGTTTTGATCCTACTTCATGTTCTGGCTTTGTTGGGGCCTAGCCAGTTTGGATGTTCACCTTCCTAGACCTGGATGGAGGGGAGTGGACCTTGGACTTTCCACAGGGCAGGGAACTCTGACTGCTCTTTGGACTGGAGAGGGAGGGGAAGAAAAGTGGGGGGAGGTGGAAGGGGGGGAGGAGGGGAGGGAAATGTGAGGCTAGGAGGAAGCAGGAATTTTTTTTCAATAAAAAAAACTAAGCAATACAGTATATGCAGTACCATATAAAATTATATTAAATTATATGAGTTTTCTCCCAGTGAACTTTGGTAGTTTAGTCCAATAAAACTTGAATGTATATAGGGAAATTTTCCTTTCACCTGTATGCGTGTATGGGAGGATAGTCAGAAAAAGGACCATCATTTAAAATTATTATGATTTCTAAAGTAGGAAGTGAGGTTACCATCAAATTGATGCATACAGAAAAGCCATGGAAAATAGAAATAGATCAGGCCTATGGTACAACAGATAAAAAAGACCTAAAACTTCAATTTGAAGGGAATGGTTTGAGCAAACTGGACTACCAAAAACAAAGATGGAGCACATGGTCAGTATACTATTATGTATGTGGGAGGAAGAGAATTTTTGACTGGAATAAGCAAGACTTTTAAACAAGAAGTAGAAACTCATTTCCAGTATTGGGGAAAAAAACAATAAAACAGAAGAAAATGAATTCATTCTAAAGAAAGAATCGTACAAAGGAAGGACTGAGGTTCACACATTTTGCATTAGTTTGTTTTGGTAGACTGAATGTAACTGGCCCTGATAAGCAGTGGCACTATTGGGAGGTGTGGCTGTGTTGGAGTAAGTATGGCCTGGTTGGGGAAAGTCTGTCACTGTGGAGAAGGGCTTGGGGTCTCATATATTCTAAAACCATGCCCAATTGCTCAGTTAATTTTCTGTTGACTGTACAAGATAAAGAACTATCAGCTATCTCTGTAGTACCATGACTGCCTGCATGTCATCATTTTGAATAGAATGAACCTCTGAACTGTAAATTATCCACTCAATTTCCCTTATAAGAGTTGCCATGGACATGGTGTTTCTACACAGCAATAGAAAGCCTAAGGCAGATTTTGGTAGTAGAGTGTTTCTAGAGATACAGAAGTATGAGAATGAATCTTTTAAATATCTGTAATAGACTTTTTCAAATTCACCAGCAGCACCTTCAGCATTTCTCTCCAGTCACTCCCTCTTCTGGGAGCTCAGAATACTGAAAACGTATGGTGTAAACTTACTTCAAACATACAGGGATAAGTGTCATGGTTTGGCCGGGGCCAAATGCCATCTTGTAATGACAGCCACTCAAATCGGCTCCCAGCAATGGTTATCTTGATTCATCAATGGTGAGTAGCAATAGATTCAGTGAAACATTTGGCACCTTGGGGGGGGGGGATGATGCTGCAGCTTGATACTTCTTAATAGCTCTGGATATAGTGGTAAAAGATAAGAATGTGTTCCATGATAAAATTAACCAACAGAATACAGTGAGTGACAACAATGAACTTAGTGAAAAAACTGACCAACTTCAGATGAGAATAAAGAGTCTAAAAGTTTATAAGTATTCTCTGAAAGAGAATCTACTCTCCAGCAGCCACAGAGCTTGGGTTGAGAAAAATCAAACCAAAGCCCTCATTAGAAAGTTTGGCTGAATTACAGTGAAAATTCAAGTCTCAGCCTTAGAGGGTGTTGGCAGTTAAAGTAAGGGGCTTAATTGGTAAAGAATGGGATTCTATAATCTGGGATGAATATTTCTGGGAACACACTATTGATGCTGAGAACCATGAACCCTCAGATTCTCAAGGGTTTATCTCATCTGAGGAAGTAGTATCCTTAGTCAACCCCTTGAAATATTTCCCTTTCACTGGAGAAATTAACCTTCAGTGTCTGTTAAACCAGCAGTGACTTTTTCTGAAGGAAATGCCAGTTAAGACATTACTGATGTCCTTTAAGAAACAATAATAGTTGCCTCTAGGCCCGTAACTAGACTCAAGGCAAAGCAAGCTCCTAAATGGGAGAAGGAAAGTGTAGTCTGTGAGGAAGTGTTATCTACTATTAAGGAGCTTAATGATTTTGCTAAGTCATTCAAGCGGGAAGTCTGGGGAATGTGTGGAAATAGATTTTAAGGTTGTGAAATACTGGTGGAAGGAACATAAAACTAGATCAATCTGAGTTTATTGATATGGGTCCTTTGAGTGGAGATTCTAGATTTAATAGAAAAGCTAACACAGTTTAAAAAAAAAAAGGTGTCAAAAGTTTGTATGAATGGTTGGCTGAAGCGAAAATCAAAAGATGGTTGACCAAAATGGGTTGGAGATGGCTGATAAGGCTTAACGCTGATGAAGGGATTTTAATAAAGGCTCAGGGAAATCTCTGAGTTTAAGGTTAGCCTGATCCCCAGATCCAATTTGAGGACAGTCAAGCTTAGGCTGTGAAGGGAACTATAAAAAAACAGAAAGCTGGGGAAGAACAAGGGGGCCCAGTTCCAGTTTCAGCAAGCAGCAGAAACTTGGCAGTTTGGCTATGGTCTTGGGTTTTAGTCAAGGTGAAAAGAAGGGGTTTACAGAATATTCCTCTGTGACTAAGGATAGCTACTGAGGTAAAGCATGTATCAGGGGTCTCTCTGAATGTAGAACCAGAGAGGTCAATGTGTGAAGCTATGAGGAAGAAGTCTGGATTGCTTTGAAGATGGCCAAGATGTTAGAGATTACAAGAGTTATGGGATAACTGCCAAGGAAAGTTACTAATGGGTCTGGAACCAGTCCAAGAGAAAGAAGTGTGTTTTAGCTAACAAGCTGAAAGGAGTTGGAGATCTGAAGAGCATTTTGACATCAGACATGGACATGCTGAGATTGGAGTTTGTCCAGTTGGTTTTTGATCTTGCTTTGATCCAGAATTTCCTCAGATGTGCCCTTTTCTACATTTCTGAGCAGTAATTTATATATACTGTGCTATTATATATTGGATGCATGTGACCTGTTTTTTCTTTGTTTTATTTTGATTTATACAGGTGATTATAGTTAAGTAATTGCATGAATCTCAGAAGAGATTTTGAACTTTGGACTTTTAAGCGATGTTGAGATTGCAATAGACTATGAGGGGTTTTGAAGTTGGACAAAATGCATTTTGCATTATGATATTGTTAACAAGCATATGGGAGCCAGAGAGGGGAATGTGGTAACTTGAATGTAATGGGCCCCCATAAGATCATAGGAAGTGGCAGTGCTAGGGTATAGCTCTGTTGGAATACATATGACACTGTTGGAGGAAATGTGACACTGTGGAGGCAGACTTTGAAGACTCGAATATGCTTAAGTCATACCCAGTAGCTCAGTTCACTTCCTATTGCCTGTACAAGATGTAGAACTCACAGTTACCTTTCTAGCACCATGTCTACCTGCATGCTACCATGGGCCACGAAGATGATAACAGAGTGAAACTAGGAACTGTAAGTTTAGCAATTAAAAGTTTTCCTTTGTAAGAGTTGTCATGACCATGGCATCTCAACAGAGCAATAGAAATCTACCTAAGACAGTTGTCTTCACATATGACAAAAGCCTGGCAGTAAGACTAAATAAAATCACTGGAATGAGAATCAAATTGGGGTCTAAGAATAAACATGTCCAAAGGTGTAAGTATGGGGAGAGGAAAAAGATTAAGCATTTTCTTTATTCATCCACTAACAATGTAAAAAGTGGATTTTTACAAACCTTAACAAGATAACATAAGTACAGGATTGTGGAAAGTAGTTTTCTGAAGAAGCTGTGTCTGTAGTAGTGTGCAAACTGCTTGATGCTGCCCAATTAGACTATCATCTTTGTAAGGTGGAATGCTGCATTTTAAGAATGAAAATTATCTTGAAACATGTTAGGATCTTTAGTAGCCATGTTTTACTGTCTATATTTGACCTAATTTCCTTATGCCCATTAGATAAAACTCTTATAATGAGTTATTATGTTTAGTACATTAAAGCCTATAATCTTTAAGCGAAGAATTCTATAGCATCTACATATACAACAAAAATCTTTTCACACTTTCCTGGAGCCTGCTTTCCAAAATAACCTTATCAATACATTCTAAAGTACACTAATTTCGGACTATATAATCCTTCTTTGCAGAATACTCTTTTGTGGCTGTCTCAGAATTTTATTTATTTATTTATTCACTCATTTTACCAATTGGTTGGGGAATTTCCCATCATTTTCCACATGGCCTATTATTATTTATTGCCTTATTCTAGTTCTAACTCTTTAATTTTTTATTGTTTTTATTGCGGATACATTTTTCTCTACTCACCCCTTCCTTCCTACCCTCTCCCTTTCTACCCTTTTCCATGACCCCCAGGCTCCAAATTTACTCAGAAGATCTTGTCTTTTTCTCCTTTCTATGTAGAACCATGTATGTCTCTCTAAGGGCCCTAACTCTTAAATTCTTGTTACCTGCTTGGGTTCTCGGCAGTTGTTTTTGAGGTGGCTGGTCTTCTAGAAAGACAAAATAAACATAAAATCCTTGAATTTATAATTTTAACCACTCTTTCAGGATTAGAAATATTTTTTCATGTTTTCTATGCTTTAATAAATCTTTTGCATAGGTAAATACATTCAGTTAAAACTATTTGACAACACTGAAACAGATAAGAAATTGATAAGAATTCTGAATCTTTCCCAAATACACGGAGGAAACTCTTAACCAAAGTTGCCATTAGAAACTATCCACTCTTTCACCTCACATTTGAAAGAATCTGGGTAGCCTTCACCTTAGAGGAGCTCACTTTACAGAGGGGCCGTCTGAAACACCATGTAGGCTTTACAGCATCACTTCAAACCCAGAAGTATTTCAGGATATACAGAATGTTCTCGAACCTGAGCTAGGACCCATCATCAATCTTTCCAGTAAGTTAACACAGCCTGGGACACGGTTATTCTCCCTCACCGGATGGTTTAGAAACTAACATATTTTGGTATCTGATGGAGAGTTAGACTATCAGAGATGTAGCCACTCACACTATGAGTTCTAAGTCACCTGAGCTAACCAGAGGGGCATTAGGGCAGGTGACTCTCATGGATCCCTAGCTTATCTGGGAACTATGGTCTTGCTTCTGACACCCTTGTCTCAGAGCAGGCCTCCTCAGAGCTCCTTTGCAAGGATAGGATTAGAAATATTTTACAGTTAATACAAAACCAGAGGAAATCAGCAAGTGAAACTTCACTAAAAAAAAAAAATACTAAAAACAAAGCACATCATATATAAAACTATTATTTGAAGATAACACTAGTTAATAAGTTATAGTCTTAGCATTATCCAGCAAATTGACAGGAATGAAAATAAAACTGAAAAGTAATTTCAGCAAAAACATTAGTATATTTATGTATATTGAATAGTATACATTATTAATTTTCATATTTATCTAATGTATACTTTCCTGACTGTGGAAGCAGAAAAATGTAGGCCCATTTCCATCTCCTCTGATGATCAGAGTTTGGAGATTGACAGGCATAGCTGCAAGGCCTAACTCAGGAGGTGATTGCTTGGTTCTTTTGAAATTAAGATAGCTCATTCTAGTAAGTTTTTGTCATCCTGACTGGTGGTCAGGATATGCAACTATACTTCTGCTCCTTTTGTAACTGTGAGGTCACCTGGGGAAGGGTGGTCTTCAGAATATGTGATTTAGAGCACCTTTGCTACCTAGACAACATAATGCTAATGATTTGATGTCTCAGAGTGATAAAACCATTGATTGTGTGAGTTATTCTTTATATCATGTTAATAAAGTCTTTTATTACTCCCTCCCCCATTTATGTTGGGTGTAAAAGCTATGGAAAAATAAAGGTGGTGAATTTCAATCACTGGAATGCCCTCCAGATGCTTTTTATATTTTCTGTGTTATTATTTTTATGTATCTTCATATTCATTACTTATATTTCTTCAATTCCCATGCCCCCACCATGGTAAGAAGTATTTCTTTCGAGGTCACTCATGGACATATGGCGCTCAATGTGAGGAAACCAATAGCAAGTACATTATATTAACAATAAAGAACATGACTTTATTTACATCAAACATGAATAAACACTGTTCTCTTCTACTATGCTCCTGCCTTTAAATATCTGTAATACTGCTAGCTATTCAAATCAAAATATACTTGATTACCTGTTATAATTTCAGTTTGGATTCCTAGAGATTGAGTCTGGATAGCTGGAGGTTCTGGAATCTGAGGAATGTAAATTTTCCTGGGTATATTAAAATATGCGGGAAGGCTCAGTTCTGTTGTATATAAAATGGATTTAGGCTTCTTCAACTTTGACATATTAAAGAGCAAAAGGCACTGCAAATGAACATTAAAATTGTATTGTAATTTTCTTAATTTTTACCTCTAAAACACAAGGTAGCATTGTGTGCTCAGATAAAACATGTGGGAGAAAATACACAAAAGCATAAAGCAGCTTATTTCTTTAGAGGTGTTATCATTAACGTGGGTAGAAGGCAGCACTAGCCCATATAAATTACCAGTGGTGTTATCTTTAAGAGATACCCATGTTCCTTTTATAACACTGATAGTAACCAAAATAATTTATCTTTCAAGGAAAATATTCCATTAATGAGCAATCCCGAAATACAGATTTACCTATGCTCCTTCACATCTATATATCAGATACGAACATCATTTGCAGGGTATACCAAGTCATCATCTTCACTAATGATGATTTCTTTGACTACATAAAAACAATGAGGATCAGGCCTTTGTGCATATCCAGATCAAATTCATATCTAAATTTTGTATTTTTTAAAATTCACATAGCCATTATTCATAAAATGTGGGTTACAACATATTCCCATTCAATCTTCCTCTAAACACAATGCTGTCCTTATGGAAACTGCACAGTAGCTTTAACAGTGGAAGTGAAGCAAGGTACAAGTAATACTGTTTACCTCAGAATAGATATTATGTGTTTGATATCAAGAGAGATAAAATTTTTTTTAAAAAAAAAAACTTAGATTTCTAGAAATTTACAATTTGAAAGGAATAATGAACAAATGTCAATGTCAATCTCATATGAAACATAACTCACAACTAAAGGAAGAAAAACTGCCATAGACAAATTATATTAAGAATTTTTAAATAAATTATTTTGAGAAATAATGGTCGAAAAACAAATTTTAAAAGATTAAAAAGAAAAGAGATTTTCTTATGATAGGCTTGTAGTTTAAAAATGATCACTTGTAGTGATATTTTGTTTATGAGCTAACAAATATATCTTTCCTAAAGATCAGAGTGCCAAGCTAGACACACTAGTCAGCCATACAGGACAGGCAGTGGTGGCAAATATCTTTAATTCCAGCAAACACACTAGTAAGCCATAGAGGCTGGGTGGTCATGGTGAACACCTCTAATACAAGCACTAGAGAGGAATATAAGACAGGTGGAGACAGAAACTTGCTCTTTTCAGTCTGAAAATTTCATAGATATAAGAGCTCTCTAGTGGCTTGGCTGCTTTGCTTCTCTGATCTTTCAGCTTGAACCCCAATATCTGTCTCTGGGTTTTTATTCATGCTACAATTATTCATTAATAGCTTTTGTGATCATTGTATATAAGGCTCCCAAAATTCACTTTTCAGTAGAACTATGAGGTTTAGTCAAAGAGAATCCTCAACTTATTCTAATTAGTAGGGGTAAATTAAAGAAGAAACTATCCAATCCTTGCTATTTGATAATTTCAATCTTATTAAAGCTTTAAAATCAAAGTCATCTTTAACATCTTAGTTATTTCATTAAATTCCCTAGAATATTCTAATGTTCATCAGAATTTACCCTTATTGGAAATTCAAAAATACACTGGGATGATTAAAATTATTCTGAATGCCAGTATATTTAACAAAATGAATTTCAAATACCACTGAGCTCCCTCCTAGGAAAAAAATATTCATCACTTTCTATGTAAAAATATTGTAATTATACAAAAAGAGAACTGCAAAATTTTAAGTAATTAGAGTCATTGAGACACCTCACCAGATACAGGCACTGGTCCCCAAAACTGATGGCCTGAGTTATATCCCTGGAATCCACATGCTAAAAAAAAAAAACACTGTAGGTGGGTCTGTTTTGTGTCGATTTCACTGGTTAATAAAGAAATTGCCTTGGCTTTTGATAGGTTAGAACATAGGTGGGTGGAGTAGACAGAACAGAATGCTGGGTAGAAGGAAGTGAGGTCAGATGCGATGGACCCAGCCGCCAGGTCAGACATGCTGAATCTTTCCTGATAAGATACCACTTCATGGTGCTACACAGATTACTAGATATGGGTTAAAGCAAATTATGAGAGTTAGCCAGTAAGAGGCTAGAGCTAATGGGCCAGGCAGTGTTTAAAAGAATATAATTTGCGTGTTTGCTATTTCAGGGGAATAAGCTAGCCAGGCAGCCGGGAGCCAGGCGGCAGTAACGCAGCCCGCTGCTCCATCTACAGAAGGCCAATCCCTGCAAATTCTCCTCTGCTTTTCATTAGCATGCCCTAGCACATGTAGGCTCAAATGTGTGCATGCATACACAGATGTACACAAAATAAATGAATGAATGAATGAATAAATGCTTCTTTTTTTTTTCAAAAAAGCAAGTGAACAGCATTGTTTTTTTAGTCCTACCTCAATCTTGGTTAGTCCTAGGAGGGCAATGGCCACACGAATGGTACTGCTCTCCAGAGTGCCAGTGATAGCCCTTCTTTCATACTCAAGAGTTGACATCTGTTGCTGTGCTGCAAAAGCCAAAGCCTTCTCCTTGGCTTCATTAGTCAGTGGTACTTTAAGGTCCACATCAAGGATTTGATAAGGTTTGCAGCCCAAATATAAAACTGGATCTTCCTTATTATATTCTGAAGAAAGTAAAAATGTTAGTGAATATAATGAACATTTATTCCCTCAGCAGTGTGATTAAGCATGAATTTGTGAGGTTAGAAACAGAAAAGTGCAACTAGTTATGATATTCAATAAGCCGATGAAAAATAAATGGATAATACATTATTACTAATTCTAAATAACTGATTAAAGAATAAGACTTAAAAAAGAAGATACTCATTGATATTTTCTAAGGGTAGATTTACTGCAATAGTGCTTTATCTGAGGAGTAAATAGGGGTGAAAAGGGGAAAGGTGGGGTGTGGGAGGAGGGGAAGAAGGGAACAGAGATTTGTACACACAATGAAAAAAAGATTAGTTTTTAATTTTAAAAAGTAAAATTATAAATAGGGATAAAAAAAGAAGAAAAAATATCAATATACTCAAAAATTTAGTATACTATGATCCCAATAAAGTAGTAATAGTAACAATTACAAAGACAAGATAGGAGAGATTCTCATATTCCTAAAACAATAAAACATGTATGCCACCTGGGCCATATTCTTCTATTGTTAATGGTGTAAGGTACTTGTCCCTTATCCACTTATTCTATCACAAGAGAACAAAACCCTCCAGTTATAGGATGTGTCCAAGGACAAATTTGATATCAAAGAAAAAAACAAAGAAAAAAAAAACAAAAATAAAATATCTTACATGGGCAAATCTTCTTAACTATGAGGAAGAGATTTCTTAAACCATGCTATTATGGACTGACAAAAATCATACTCTTCCTACCAACCTCAGAAACTCTAACACTCATTATTATCCCTGTTGGCAGGCTCCTTGATTTTTCAGAATCAATGACCACTCATTTCCCTCAAACCCTTTTCTTTCCAATCAAGACTCTGTCAGAGTTCATACTTAGTCTTAGTTGTTTTTTTAAATTTCTACAATCATTGAAATCATTAATTAAGGATATGGTATGGGGAATAAAAATAAACACATAATTGATGCCATTTAAACTCAGGCAAAAAATAAAACTTCATTTCATTAAGAACCAAATTCTTTCAGTGCTGTAAGTCAAGAATTAGAATTACAGATAGAAATCTAGATTATAATAAAATCAATTTTTGAGAATATAGAGATTTGATTTCCAAACAGAAATCAATAGGATTTATTGAGTAATATTTTATTTACTAAATCTCAGGACTGAAACCATAGATTTATAAAGAAGTCATCAATTACGTTTTAAACTAGTCAAATGGTGTTGTTTCATTGAAACAAACATAATGGAGTTAGAAGGAGGCTTTCTAAAATATGAGTGCATATTGCGGAAAACTGCTTTAACAATGTTTGCATGACTATGTGAGTAATAATACCATCTGTCAGTATAATGAAGTAAAATATGTGTAACATACCTTCTTCTAGAGAAATACTGTAGTCAATTGGACTTGGTGGCTTCATTGAATGGAAATTGGAAGGCAAAGGTATTAAACCTTTTCCTTCTACAATATATATCAAATCTCCAATCTAAACATAAGCATATAATAATAATAAAATTTAAGCTCTCATAAAAATATAAAGAATAGTCATGAAAAAGTGAAAATCTATACACTTTCTAGGAACTTTCCTGCTTTTCTGAGCAACCTGCGTACTACTTTATATAGACAAAAGTAAAGCATAGAATTTTACATTAACATCCTATAAATTTGGATTGAAATCAGATAGGTTGAATAAGGAGGTCCTAGAAATACTTTATACACATTCTTAGGAAACCATCTTAAAATAATCATGCAAACATGAAATAAACTTTGTTCCTATCCTGTAACAACATTATTACAGACCATGTACATCCTTGAGACTGTTTTAAAAGTGTGCATTTTCAAAATGATCATATGAACATCTAAAGTACTTTAGGACATGATATTAGATAAAAAGTACAAAAGGTTAAATATTATCTATTTTTCATAAAATAAAAGTGGGAAAAATTTAAGAGCACCAGCATTATGCAGAGAAATCAACAATGGTGAGCATGTGTCTTTTGTTTGGCTAACAGCTATTAAGCTACAGGGAAGTTTACTAAGTCCCTGAGCTTCATTTTCCTTCTCTGTACAACTGGTGTCTTTAGAAGCCTAGAGCATAAATGGAAACAAGTGGAAGAAACGAGCTCCTAAAGACACAATAGAAAATCCCAGAGGGGAAATATTGGCCTTGTCAGAAATAGGCAGTTGTATGTATAAGATAGTGAAAAATGAATAAACCTATGTGGTGACTGGTACCTAGTTCATTATATTCATGTTATGAATATAATTCATGTCATGTTATTGAAAATGGGGGCAAAAGAAAGTGACAATTTACTGTAGCTTCTTCTCTATGTTGGACGTAGAGAATATCAGCATATGACACTCCGTATTATGACCAATTTAAATCAGGACTAGTTTGAGAAGATGACAATTAAAAGGAAGTAAGTACAGGACAAAGTCTCCTCTGCCCCATGTTCCTAAAAGCCAGATACTTATTTACAGTGGTTTCTTCCCTTTCTCTCTACCAGGAAGGACAGAAGTTGATCAGAGTCTAGTTGATGCTTATTTGAGTGCAGATGATTCTTCATTAATCTATGTCATAAAATTCCATTAGACTTCCTACATTATGCCCTACATAGATATTCAATCTCTTTGTTTTCAAGCTTTTAAAACTTCTACTTCTTGATAAAGCTACTATCCAAGTGGAAGCTCTAATCTATCTCTTTCTCTAGCGATCTCTTTTAATAAACATGCTAAAAAGTTTTAGTTTGGTTTATGTTTGTAAGAACAGTATGTATTTTGTATTTTCTGTAATAATTTTAAATGACTGTATGAAAAGAACCGGAATGACAGCATGTGCAGGAGACTGTGAGAACACAGGAAACAAATGTGTGTTTTAATCAAAAAATGTGGCCGTAGGAAGGCAATGACATACTGGAACATAAGCAAATTGGAGAAAAGATAGGTGTTAGGTGGCTATAATTAAAAGCCAAACACTCCTCAAATGAAAAGATCCCTGTCTAAGGTTATGAACTTCCTCATGAAAATCAGTTCAATCCATGCTTTTTGGCTTCTAGAATGAGAACATAGCAGAATCCATTCCGTAAAATAAAATCAAGTTCTGGGAATCACAATGCAGACAGATCAATGTGTCAGGTTGCTGCTGCAATCTGTAATGTTTGTATGCTGCCTGTTCTTTCAAATTCAGGGGGTGATCCAGCCGCCCCACCTGGGCCTGCGCCAGTGCTCTGCTGCCCCGCCTGGGCCCGGCCTGGATCTGAAAAAGCCTGGGATAAAACTGGACTCGCTGAACATAGCAGACAATGAGGACTACTGAGAACTCAAGAACAATGGCAATGGGTTTTTGTTCCTACTGCACGAACTGGCTTTGTGGGAGCCTTGGCAGTTTGGATGCTCTCCTTACTAGACCTGGATGGAGGTGGGTGGTCCTTGGACTTCCCACAGGGCAGGGAACTTGATTGCTCTTTGGGCTGAAGAGGGAGGGGGACTTGATTGGGGGAGGGGGAGGGAAATGGGAGGCAGTGGCGGGGAAGAATCAGAAATCTTTAATAAATAAATAAAAATAAATAAAATAAAAACATGGAAGAAAAAAAAATTCAGGGGGTGAAATTTCTCAGGGACTGAGTTCTGATTCGGCAATGGTTTCCATTCTAAGTTTTGTAATTCCATTTTATATTTGAAAGTTCTGTGGTCTTCTGCCATCTAATAGCAACAGCTTTAAGGACTGTTGTAAGTCTGCCTGTAAGCTGAAGTTTTTATGAACATGGATGATTTGTACAACTATCCTTATCTTCAAAGTGATATAAATATTTCCTATCTCATTTGGAAATTGAAGTAAAACACACAAAAGTGAAATAAATGTGTACTCCTGAAAACTGTTGGTAAAAACGATTTTATTTCATGACTGGAAAACTAGCAAATACAGGCCTAATTAGTTCAGTATTAACAGTGGAGCTTAATAGGAAGTGGGTTATGCCACATTCAATAAGAACAGGAGCAAACCATTTGTGCTTGCTTGCATGCGTGATTTCTAGTGAAGCATATAGTGTATTTTAATATAATTATAAATATACTTGACTGTACAAATTAAAGGCAACTATAAATAATTCAATCAAACTCTTTAAATTGTAGCACTCTTTCTGACAGGTAGAAACTCATTTCTAAGATTATTGTTTTATCTTAATGTTTCCTCTGGCAAGTATAAAATATATATAATCAAAGTTAAATTTTAATAAGTGAGGATGCCAAACTATGCTTGACTATATTTTAAGGAATTTAGATTCATTTATGTAGGTAGATGATATTCTTGTAGTCTACTTCAAGGAAGAAAAATGATTTTGTAATTCTACTGTTCCAAATGAATTTTCTTTAATTATAAATTAATTTTAAAAGGTATTTTGACCATTTAACACAATCAATGGTAACAAATAATAACTACAGTTATTTTCACGCATTTTTTTTTTCGAGACAGGGTTTCTCTGTAGCTTTGGTACCTGTCCCGGAACTAGCTCTTGTAGACCAAGCTGGCCTCGAACTCCCAGAGATCCACCTGCCTCTGCCTCCCGAGAGCTGGGACTAAAGGCGTGCGCCACCACCACCTGCCCGGCTCATGCATCTTTATATAGAAAAAAATGTTGTTGAACCTGAAAAATTTCCTTTCCATTGCTGAGAATAAAATCCAAGGTTGGGAATGCTACACAAGCCCTCTGCTACTGTGCTCCAATTCTAGGTACTGATTAAGATAAAAACCAAGGGAGTTTCTCAATGGTGATTTTACATGTGAGATTAAAGTATATCTTATACTTAGTAAAATATACTGTTTTTCACATGGAATTCATTCTATAGATACTAGGTAAGTATTATCTCCGAATATCATTGATTACTTAGATATACTGAATACAGATGATATACATGGCTATGTAGCTATATACCCTGAGAATTCTAAATTTCCTCCTCAGATCATTATCTAATAATTAGTCTCTCAGAGGTAGTCTCCCATCTCTTCCCCTTCTTCACTCCACTGGCCTTCCCCAAAATGGTCTCTCCTTTGTTGGTTTTAAGAACTGAGCTACACAAAGCACAGACACAAAGAAAAGAATTTCATCAGCAGCTTGTGAGGTTGGAAGCAGATCCTTCGTCAGATAACACTGGGAGAAGATGCCAGTCTTGGTCAATTCCTTCACTGAAGATTTTATAGACCTTAAGTAGAGGATTTAGCATAACAGGCAAGATCTTTGACTCACAGAAACTGAGATAAAGCTAGTTCTGGAGGTTCTGCTGCCATGAAACTCGCATATGCTGAGACCTTAAATTTGTGTCTAAGTCGTGGGAATTTTTTGGTATTCTTCAGAAGAAGAATTTTGCCTTGGAAATTGAGGATTAGCAACATGAATATTCTGGAGTCCCATTTGCTTTAAATTGACTTTAGTGATTACTTCATTATGAAAGCAACCATTAATGGAATAAGCACAGAGCACAGTTCTGTTCTTACCTCTTTGTTGCTCAGGATGACGGCACAATAGCGGACATGCATGTCAAAGGGAAGATAGTAGATCTCCAGGCTTGAAGATCCTTTGGCTTCCAAGAAAAATGTAGGCATTGAACAGAAGAATTCTCTGATAAAGTTAGACTTAATTGCTAAGGAAAAAGGACACAGAGAAAGTTGATGAATGATATAAGTATTATTCTAACAAACTAGTGTTTTAGTAAATAACTAACATTTTAGAATGTATAAAATATTGAAACCACTATAACATAATATTATGAGATAATACATGCCTGGTTATGGTGGTGCATGTCTTTAATCCCAGCACTCAGAAGGCAGAGGCAGGCAAATCTCTGTAAGTTTGAGGCCCAGCCCAATCTACATAGCCAGTTTTATGACAGCCAAATCTACATACACAAAAAAAACCCTGTATTGAAAAAAAATGATAATACATACTTCTTTTTAATAAAAACTATTGGTGCCCTGATCTCAAGCTTGAAATTAAAAATTCCTTAACACTCTCATTAAAGAAGACTGTGGTACTATTTAAATTTAATTCCCACACACATACATATTATGAATGTAATTCACACATATAATATATATACATCATATATGTATATGATATAATATATATATAGTCACTCTTGAATTTCAATTTTTATGACCTGTGAAACAATTCATATAACAAAGGAAAATGAACACTTCAAGATGGAAATTACTAGATACACAAAAGTATTCATATTTTTTTAGTAGTTTTAAAATATGTTGATAGATTCCTCAAGTTCTACTAAAATGTGGTAATATGATAGGCCAACCTTACTGATTTTATATGAACAAACACTTTGTAATTGTGATCAACTGTGGTGTTACTTTCTATAACAGTTTTTCTGTCTGTCACTCTACCCATCTTTTAAAAGAAATTTTCATAGCATATTCAAATTTTTGATAGAGCATGTTAAATATAACGTTCAAATATTAGGGTTTTCAGCAACACAAGGATTATCTTCTGAAAGTCAAATTGGAGTTCTTTTAAGATACCCTCGTGTAACTTTGCCCATCTTTTTTGAGACTTGGTTTACTTAATAATACTAGATAAAAAACTGTATTTTTACAATTCCAAACTTAATAATACCTAGTACCTAATAGGCTAAAAGAGTTCAATAAAATTCAAAAGCAACATAAGGACCAGCTATTTAATCATGCTCCCTATTTACTAGTGGAAGCAAAGGTAGGGATAAAAGGAAAGATGTGGGCACAGTCCTCAAAAGGGTGCTCAACAGAAAAGACAGACAACCAATAAGTCAGTCTCCATCTGGCCAAAAATCTCTAGTATTTCTATCGTCAAAATCTCCCTTGATGTATTATCTCAGTTCCTTTTTTGTTCACATAAAAATCAGATCCAAATTGGATGTGGTGGCACATACCTTTAATCCCAGCACCAGGAGGTAGAGGCAGGCGGATCTCTGTGAATCTGAGGCCAGTCTGGTCCACAAAGTGAGTTCCAGGAGAATCAGGACTGTTAGACAGAGGAACCCTGTCTCAAAAAACAAAACAAATCAGAACCAAGTTTTTTAAAAAAAGCAATAAACCTTTCACCAAGGTACTCACAGGTTCTTAAGCCATTTTCAGCATGGGAAGAACTCCGATCAGCACCATAGTCACTATCCATACTACGACTGTCAGAAGAGGGAAAGAACATCCACATTACACACCAAAGATTTTTCACTTTTTTATTTTATTAAATACTGTAATATTTGGTAATTATTGCTATCTATAATATAATATGTGGTGTTTATTTTGTTTTAAAAACTCAAAAATTAGAAAAGAAAGAAATCCAATTTTTCATATCCCTACCCTTTCTTTTAGACAGGTTCTCACTGCCTTACTTGCCTGCAACTTACTATTTAAGTCAGGATGACACGGAATTCATAGAGTTCTTCCTCTCTCTGTCTCCCTAGTGTTGGGATTAAGGGCCCATTTGACCAAATGTCTAACATTAGCTATAAATATTAGTGAAACAAGCTTCTTTAATTTTTAAATAGTGAGAAAAATGGGGTGCATGTCAGGGATAAGCAGAAATTTTCTCCCAAAGAGGTTGTAAAACAAATTTCCTTTCCGTGGAAAAAAGTCTCTATTATTATTTCCATGTTTGTGACATTTTTATAAATGTGGGATACATAACAGTTTTCAAATTTCAGTTTCAGTCACAGAAATGATAGAGCAAATCATAATCTGAGACAACTGTCTCTCTTCATAGGTTTCATGTAATACAGAACCATAAGCTTCACCCATATTAGCTCTCTGTTAGTATTTATGATTATCTTAATCACTAAGCTATCAGGAAATATTTATTATTTACAGATATACACATAAATTTGACTCTGCAAAATCTCATTTCCATGTTATCATAAATACATCCATTACTTTCGTTTCATTTGAATATTACAAATAACACTTTCTTAGAAACATATTCTTGTTGATGTTATTTCCCACTTTTATAATTATTCTGTGCTTTAATTCTACTAGTACACATTTGGTAGGAAATTTAAGTACTATACTATCTTTTGTTAAAAAGAAAGAACTTTTAATATTTTGTGTAATTTAAGCATTTGATAGATACTTTAATTTACAGCTGTCCTGGGTATAATAGCTAGATACATTCCCATGTAAAATACAGTTCATAAACAGAGTAAAAAGCGTTACAAAGATTGTATCTTATTTCTTCATATATGGCTCCACTGTCATCTCTTTGATAATGGATATCAAAGCAGAATTACTGATTAAAGCCTACAGACAATCTAAAGGTTCATTTTGTTTAATATTTGCAATCTCTAGTCTTTCAATAATTTTTATCATAGTATGTAGAAAAGTGTATGGATCTGAGCTTCATATCTCTTTCCTTTGTGTATTTTGTCAGAAAGAAATAATAAAAAGGCCTTTGGAGAAATTTGCAAGCTGCCTCATCCTTAGCAGCTTTTCCTAAACTTAGATAAACTAAGATCAATATACAGCCCATGATTATGACAGTAAACATGGTGGACTTAGTAACCTGTCTCACAATTTTATGAAACTAAGTATTATTTTGATTATTGAAGAAATCTGAAAATGATTTAGTGAAAATTGTATGGTTTGTAAAAATTCTATTATACTTAATGATCACAAGTCTAGAAATTCATTGACAAACACCATTCTTTTATAAAATTAGTGTCTTGGTAGCCCAAAGTGAAATGAAATAGTATCTCACCTGTCTTTTTTTTTTTTTTTTTTGGTTTTTAGAGACAGGGTTTCTCTGTAGCTTTGGTTCCTGTCCTGGAACTAGCTCTTGTAGACCAGGCTGGCCTCAAACACACAGAGATCCGCCTACCTGTGCCTCCCGAGTGCTGGGATTAAAGGCGTGCGCCACCATCGCCCGGCTCACCTGTCTTTTTGTTACTACTGGTACACAGCCTTTTAACTTTTTTTTCTAGTTATTAACAGATGCCTGCTAGAGATGTTTCATCAGGAGCATTTTGAAAGCTTTCTAAACTTGGAGAAAATAGTATCAAAATAGGATAAATTGTAGGCAAATATTTGATCAAACAATACTTCTTGTTAATTCATTGGTGAATGAGGAAATGGAAATTATTTTTGAAATATAGATGAATGACATATTTTAATTTTCGGTTCTGGTAAACAGGTCTTCTCCTATAAAATTGTTAAAAAGTCATTGAGTTGATTATCTTCTGAGCTTGAAAGGTAGCTCTAAAGCTTATACCCTACTTCAAAGTATTTTGAACAAGAGTTACCAAGATCTTTATTAGATGATGTTACAGCAGATATCCAAGGTTCTATTTAAGCCAAGTAGCCAATAAAGTCCAAATCTGGATTTTATGCAGCTTGAGATGGTATATAAGAGAATCAAGTTGGGGGTTCATTTTATTCTCCATATGTATAGGTTTCTTTAAAAAGGGGTGGGGGTGTACCAGTGGCCATTTTTTAAATGATTTTGTGTTACTTATGCTCGGATACTACAACACTGAACAGAAATCTGACTCTAAAATATCACAGTATAAGTTTCCACTGTTAATATGAAAATGATTTTAAAGCCATTTAAGCAAAATTTATGATGACAGAATCTATAATTCAAGCAAAATCTAAAAAAATATAAAAATCTAGAACTATATAATCATTTTTTTGTTGTTTGTTTGTTTGTTTTGTTTTTTGAGACAGGGCTTCTCTGTATAACATCCCTGGTTGTCCTGGAACTCACTTTGTAGACCAAGCTAGCCTTGAACTCACTAAGATCCACCTATCTCTGTCTCAGGAATACTGGGATTAAAGGCATGCAGCACCACAGCAAGAATATTTGTGCGTTATCTTTAAAAAATAATGGGAGATCCCCTATGCAAACACAGGCCATGTCAGCTACAAGAACGTGTAGGCCACCTGCCTAGGAACTCTCCTACTGCCACAGTATGAGTATAAAATCAAAGCTGCCCTTCCTCCAACATAGGGCAGGGTACCTTGCCCTCTCTCAGGACTGGAGGAGGAGGGGGAAAGGTGTGTGAGGGAGTGTGAGGGAAAGTGGTAGAAGGGGAGGAAGTGGAAATTTTGATTGGTATTATATATAAAGTAATAAATAAAAAAAATCAAAGCCGCTTACTCAGGCATCACAGCAGCTTTTGAAGATTCAGTTACTTGTGATGGCAAATACATAAGTGTTGTGGATTCCACAAGAATGACACTGAAATAAATACAAAAAGAATTATTTCCAATTGTCACATAAAAAGTTCAGATAACAACAAAAGTTTCATTTTTCTCATCATCTGTAACCTAAATTCAGACTGCACTTATCCTTCTATGACTCCAAAGAAATATTAGGGAAAAGGGGAAGACCTCAAACAAAAATATGTGAAATATTTATATAGAAAATAAAATTAACTTCAAAATGAAATAAATTAAACAATTTTCATTCTTTAAAAAGATATCAATCACAAATACTATCTTCGATAGAGATGAGACTTTGTGTCTAATTCTACTTCATTTCTGGCCAGGATTCAGCTGACTTAGACTTGTTGCGGGCATTGCAGTCCTAGTTCATAGGAATATAAAGAATATAAGCACATGCAATCTTTTCCTCACAAGAATCACGTTAAAAAGGAAAGGACAATTATTTTTCTTGAATATAGATCATGAACTGCAATAAATTTACAGGAAAACAATGACTTACCGAAAATCTCCACCCGCTGGAAAGGGATTTTTCACATTTACACTGACTTCTTTCCATTGATAACATGGAGATTTGCATTTTAGAATTTCCTAAAGTAAAAAAAAAAAAAATCACAATATAAAATAATGCCAAAACCCAGAATATTTTTGATTACTAAATGCCACCTCAAAAACCTACTGTCTACTTGATTATTACAATAATTAATGAAATTATTTTCCTCTCAGATATTTTGCTATTCAAATTCAAATAGGATAAGAAATACTTATCTTCTACTTATCCACAATAATGTGCTAGCAATTAAAATATTTGCTTTGAATGCCTCTTAAATTGATCTCCAAACTGATTTCATAAATAGATAATGATTTTAGAAATGATAAAACATGTTTTATATATGCAAATATATACATATATATACATATATGTTAGATATTTATATCTATGACCTAACTAGTATATGAATGCTGGCTTATTTATGTTCATATTTTCCTGGTTATAATGACATGCTTGTAATAATAGCACAGATAATAAAATAAAACTTACAAATTAATTTAGAATAAAAATTTCTTTAAATTTTACAGTTGTAGGGTAGCTGTGCTTGTTTTGAATATTTTCTCCATTATAAAGTAATCTACTTCCTTTTGACTTGAGTGGGAAGAGTGGAGTGTAATCAGAGTTGCACAGTATTCAGGCATTCAGTTTTCAAGTTGACTTTCCCTTCCTAAGGTTACTGGAGGGATCAAATCAGCAATCCCACTCAAATTCATGCAACAAAATAATGCATTGCTCCAGGGAATATATGTGAGAGAGTTGAGAGATATGAAGAGTTCATTATTAAAGAGGATACTGGAAGAAAACAATGTATCATTGTGAGAAATAGCCACACTTTGCTTGGCACATCACTGCCCAGTAAGTCAGTCTGTCTATATGAGCATCTTGGTGCTCTTTTCTAATATCTGGCTACCACTTAATACGTCTAGAGTCATTCTTTGTACTTTATTCTCTGGTTTTGCACAGCCAAAAGTTTTGCTTTGTATTTTAAAATAAACATGGAAACCTGGAAACAATAAATGTCCTTGACTTTTCCATTTCTCCATGGTAGCAAATAATATTTAAACAAGATGTTTATAAAAAGTTTCCAATATATTTCTTTCCCATCTTGTGAGATAAGAAAACGTAGAATTTAGTCAAGAACATTATAATCCTATAATAAATATAGTATTAACAGGAACTTTAAAATGAATTGGCTATAGAGAACACTCCAGATAAACTGATGAATGCCCAGTTAGAAAGATGATTGAGAACGCAAAGGTGCTTGCTGCCAAGTCTTTAAAGCTGTATTCAATCTTCAGAATACACTTTCTGCAAGCTGTTGTCTGCCCTCCATCGTGCTATGGCACACATGCAAAATGGCACACATGTGCTAACATAGATGTGCAAGCACTTACATGTATAAGCACATGTACAGCACACACACACACAAAATAAATAAATAAAATTAAAATGTATATTAAAAATTAATCAATGTCCGCAGCAGACAAATATTTTTTGAATCACATTCAAACTTTCAGCAACCTCATCCCCAAACCTCAATTTCAAGGTTTGATGGCAAAGACTAAAGGACTAAGACTATCATGGTGTGACATTACAGGGTCTGAGGAACAGGAGCAAAAGTAGATAAAAGAAATATAGTTGACTTACAATTGCTTTAAAATTTAGTACTTCTCCTTTCAGAGCAAAAGCCATAGTACTGCCTCCTACTCCACCCTTAGGTTTTGAAATTAATAATAGTGTAGCTTCAGTAGGATGGAGGAAGCGACATAAAAATTTCACATAGAGGACAATTTGGCTTCTATTTAATAAAAAATAAAAGAGGAAACATACATTTTATTGAAATAAAAGACTATATAAAGAGCAGCAGTATCTTAATTATTTGACAAAAATCAATTAGAAGATAAAATAAAGAAAATATATTCACGTGTTTTCATTTTAAGATGTATTATAATATGTCATCTAATAGCTGTAGAAAAGATTCTATTTACCCATTTCCAGAAAAAGTACGTCACTGTGCCAAATTTTAACAGCTTAAAAGGAAGCACATAGATCCTTTTGAAACAAAAGAAGTGGAGTATTATGAAGCCCAAGAATATTTCTTTAAAGCTATCCCAGCCTCATGGTTTGTGATGAGCTCAGAGACTTGCTAACTTAAGTTCTTTAGAATAGTTATAGGGTACAAAATGGTACCATAGTACTATGAAGTTGCCTCTTTCCCTCTAACATGCAGTCAACTTTGTTGTCTTTTGGTTTTCTCTTGTGCAAGGACAAAATGCAGCACTTTTTCCTTTCTCTTTTCAGGTAAGTAACATACTTCGAATTAAGAATAAGCTGGGTTTACACAACTGAATACAAATGATAAATACCAGGAATATTTTACTACTGATTTTAACTCTGGCTTTTAGCATAACTATCATTATATATAACATTCAGTTATTCTGCACTATAAATTATTACTTATTATAAACTCTTTTAAGGTAAAAATGTTAATAATGAATATAGGAATACTTTCCTTTTGTTGTCAAAACTTGCCTAATTGGCATAGTCTGTGAAACCACTGATTAATGATTGAGATGAGGTAGAAGCAAAACCAAGGTGAGTAAGTGTATGTAAAAATCAACAGAAATACACAAACTATATCTTGTAGGGAAAATCACAGGCTACGTACAACACGAGGTCTTTTATGTTGATGTATTTTCACTAATCTAAATTTTGTTCAGATGGACTATTATACAAGACTCAGGGGCTGGAATTACATTGAAAATAAAAAGCTGTTCATATCATAGTCATTTCTGGGATGTAGAAGCTAGAATTTGGTGCAAGAATACCATATTGAATTAAGATTTTCTATATACTGCTTAGAGTCCATTAATTCAATAACTCACTCATTTTAATTTATATATCTAGATAGATAGATAGATAGACAGACAGAAAATTTCTAGTGCATCAGGAACTGTTTTAGGCTTATGAGATATAGTAATTAGATCAAAGTATATAATTTTTAATCTCCTGAATTATTCATTCTATAATGCACAGATGAGTATACAACATTACTGAATAGATTTGAAAAAAATGAATAATATAATCCTTTATACGTCACAAGTAGGATCATATGAACATTCATATATATCCACCTAGATATTTATCTACCATCTATATAAGCACAATAACTATTAAGAGGATAAAAAATATGGTAACATCAGTGCTTTTTGGTAGCAGAATTTTAAAACTTTTACTTATTTTGTTTTTTATTCTTCCATAGTTTCTAAATTTCTGTCATGAACCTATGTTGCTGTGATAATCAGAAATTACGCATAATGTAATATGTATATTATAAAATTATATGTAAGTATGCACTAGTTGCATTCCCTTCATAAAACATAGTTTTGCTGTGTAAAAAAATCATAATTATAACACAATGGCCCATATACACATAAAGGAAATCAAAATTAAATACTTGCATAAAATTAGCTGCAATGTAGTGTTAGGACTGTTTTGACAAAATTAAAGAGGAATCTCAGAAATGTAAACATGTTATTTGAGTGAAAGTTTTTCATTACATAACTATCAATTTAGAATAGTTGAAGCCATATTTTAATAATAACTGTAAATAATAAATGTTTTTATTTTACAAGTTAAATAAGTTAGAATACTTTTAAAATACTTACTTGGGGGCAATTGTTATAACATTCCCTGTCTGGGTGAGAGAAAAGTCAGCAGCATCTCTTCCAACAATTGTAGCTGTATACACTAAATTTTTCAAGCTTGGGTTCTTCACTAATATCTATGTAGATGGCAAAGATGGTACAAAGAAGATTAAAACCTACATCATTTCTTAAAATTAAAGTTAGTGCATATAAACATACTCGTCATAATGCATACTATATTAACTGGAAGGTATAAAAAAGTATTAGAATTTACATGTGTATTGGACAGGACCTTGCTACATAGCCCAGGCTGGCCAGGAAATGATTCGATTCCAGTTCAGCCTCCCAAGTGATGAAATGATAGGTTCAAACCACTACGTAAACTACAAAACTACAGTCTGGGTGTTTAATGACAGCACTTCTATCTATCATTAAGATTTATCAAATTGAAGAAGAACCTCAAATATTTTATATGACAATTCTAAGTCTTCAAACTAGCAAGTTGGATTTAATTTTTATTTGGAAAAATTTCAGGAGATTTTTAGCAAAATTGGCATAGTTTAGTTTCTACAAAAGGAGAGTCTTTCAGATCAGTGAAAAATGTTCCCCAAGGAGTTTAATTTTGAGGATATATCCAGGATAGAAATGGTTGTGCCCAGGTTTGAAAGGAGTTTAACTAGGTATTACCTGAACTAGAAACATGGAGAATATTAAAATAGAAGAAGAGAAGGAGGAGGAGGAGGAAGGCAGTGACTTTATTATTAGGAGCTTTTATTTATGGAAAAAAGGTTAAAATAAAGTGTATGGAAATATGATAGAATTTCAGGAAAATAAGACAGAAAGATGGGATAAGGAGTTGGAGACATGGAAGAAAGAACAGAATCTCAGAAAACAACGAAAGAAACAGAATGAAGCTTTCAATGCTAACCTTCCAGCTGGTAACCCTCAAACTCTATGTCACAGTGTAGTGAAAAGAGAATAGAAGAACACCTTGGGGCTTGCAACTTTCAGGTTAAAGATGAACCAATGATGAGAGCTTTAAGTTAGCTGCAAAGCTAAAGAGAAAACTGATGGCAGGCAATACAATTAGCTATCCATTTCTGGCTTAAAACTAACAAATCAAAAGAGAGGGCTCATCTGCCAGGTGACTTTGATGTAGAAAATGCAGTTAGCAATCTCATATTCCAAACACTGAAGCCGCTTCCATTTGGTCTACACTGGACCACTTTCAGCTGACTACAAATTTAGACAACATATAATAAAATAGACTTAATTAAGTATTCTTTGGTTGGCCTGAGATTGAAGAGGACAGTTTCCTTTTGTTTGTCTTTTGTCATCAACTTGAATATCTTTTAGGGCAGAACATCGTTGTTGTTGTTGTTGTTGTTTTAATCCAAATTCCCACTCCCTTCCCTCCTCCCATTCCTTCCACACACCCTCCCACCCCATCCCCCTCTAATCCAAAGAGAGGGTAAGGCACTTTGCTTTGTGGAAGGTCCAAGGCCCTCCCTACTACATCCAGTCTTAGGAAGATATGCATCCAAAGAGACTAGGATCCCAAAAAGCCAGCACATACAGTAGAGACAAATCCCAGTGTCATTATCATTGTCCCCTCAGTCTGCCCCAGTCATACAACTGTCAATCATATTCAGAGGGACTAGTTTGGTCCTATGCTTGTTCCTTCTCAGTCCACCTGGAATTGGTAAAATCCCACTAGCTAAGCTAAACTGCTTCAGTGGATGATCCCCTCATGGTCTTGACCTCTTTGCTCCTAGTCTTATTCCTTCTACTCTTCGACTGGACTTTGGGAGCTCAGTCCAGTGCTCCGATATGGGACTCTGCCTCCATTTCCATCTGTTGCTGGATGAAGGTTCTATAGTGTTATTTAAGATAATCATCAATCTAAATGCACAGCAATGCCAGTTTGGGCACCCTGTCCACTAAGACTCCTAGGGTCTTAGCTGGGGCCATCCTTGTGGATTCCTGGGAATTTCTCTAGAGCCAGGCTTCTTGCAAACCCCATAATGCTCCCCCAGTTAAGACAAAACATAGTTTCTATACTCACTTGACTAAAAAGAATAAATCTTCTCCATATTTTCTCCCCTGTTTTTGTTCTATTGAACTTTTTCTTTTTTGACTTTATTTATTTATTTATTATTAAAAATTTCTACCTCCTCTCATTTCCCTCTCCTTCCCCTCACTCCCCCTCCCCCTCATCCAGTCCAAAGAGCAGTAAAGGGTTCCCTGCCCTGTGAAAAGTCCAAGGTCCTCCTCACTCCTAAGATATTTAAATACAATATTTTCTTATTTTCATAGCTATCTCTGTTTCCATTCCCTCACCTCCAACCACTCCACCCTTCCCTCCACCCCACCTCCCCATCCACTCCCAGGGGTAGTCAACAAAGTCTGACACTTCACTTCAAGGCAAGACCAAGACCCTCACCCTATATCTAGGCAGAACAAAGTCTCCCTCCAAATACAATGAGCTCCAAGATGCCAGTTCAAGCACTAAGGTTAAATCTTGGTCCCACTGTCAGTAGCCCCACAGACTGCCCAAGCCTCACAATTACCCCCCACATTCAAGGATAACCCTAAGAGAGACATACATGGATTCCACAGGAAGGGGGAACTAACAAGATCTCCTGAAAAAATGGGAGTCTGGGGGGAAGAAAGGAGGGTGGGAAGGGAGGGGAGGGGGAGGGGAAAACAGGAGGAGAACATGAGGGAATGGATGGTCAAGAAGGGGAAAGACAGAAAGGGAGAGAAAGGAACGAGATATCTTGGCTAAGGGAGCCATTAAAAGGCTAGCAAGAAACATGACACTGTGGAAATTACCAAAAACCCACAAGGATGACCCCAGCTAAGGATCTAAGCAACAGTGGAGAGGACCCAGCAACTGATGAAAACTGATACAAAGATCTACAGTGAAACACTGTCACCAGAGACCAGTGCAAGAGGAGAGGGAGGAGTGATAATATAAGCAAAGGGGTCAAGTTCATGATGGTGATGCACACAGAAACAGCTGACCTGAGCTAGTGAGAGCTCACTAACATTGCATTGGTAGCAGGGGAACCTGTTTTCTGCCTATTGGCAGGCTATAATAGCTTGAGTTGCTGTGGAGGTTGCAGGAGATAAAAAGGCATCAACATTCTTACCGACTTGTGCCAGGAAAGACTGAATTCAGGGATGCATTACGCACATAGTGCTGAGAATAAGTGATGGATGAACATACAACCCTACGCAAAATATCCTAAGTCTCAGGAAACCTTGAAGAAGAGCGGACAGGAAAGAATGTAAGAACTTGGAGACATGGAGAACTGTAAAATGCCATATTCATGGCAAGATTTGTCTCTGTGATCATAACTGGCAGCAGCTGCAGATGCAGGCACTGAGTTTGCCACATGAATGAAGAGGCTCAAGAGGCCCTACCCCTCACTAATGAATTATTTGCTACTAATAAATTCATGAAAACGGGAGTCATTGTCTTTAGTAGTGTACCCACTCATGACTCTACCAGGCTCCAGGGAATAGTTCCAATCCAATGATAGCAAAGATAACCATGGTTAAACTAAATTGGTTACAAAACTAAAGCAAAACTCATCAAGCTTGGTAGAACTGATAGGGATGAGAAAAGGTTGAGGGCTGGGGAGAGATAAAAGAGGGAATGGGGAAAAGATTAATCAGAATATATTATACACACGTGTAATTTGTCAAAGTAATGAATATATATTAGAAAATAAATAAGCAGAACAGGACTCCTGGAAATCAGTGTTATTGTTCACATGCTGATCTGTTGGCCTTGCTATTTATTTCATTGCTAGCCTACACAATTCTCCTCTGGTGTCTATTTTACCACTTTGGAAATTTTTTCTAGAAGTAACATCGTTAATCTTTGGATACCTTAAACAAGTATCAATATGTAAGTTCTATGCAAACATAAACAAGAAGGATAGGGATTTTCTCCCAGATTGAATTCCAATTCAGCCCTTTTGAGTTCAGTTTTATCTCAGCCTCATTTTTTTAAAGTTTTTATTTTTAATTTATTTATTATGCATACGGCATTCTGCCTGCATATACACCTACAGGCCAGAAGAGGGCACCAGGTCTCATAGATGGTTGTGAGCAACCATGTGGTTGCTGGGACTTGAACTCAGGACCTCTGGAAGAGCAGTCAGTGCTCTTAACCTCTGAGCCATCTCTCCAGCCCTCAGCCTCATGTTTTTGAGCGTGTTCTCAAGAACAAAATTTTAGGAAGATTCTTGATAACTCACTTTATTCAGAATCTGATCATCCTTTATAAAAAGACCCCACTCCTTTTCCTTTAATTTTCCTCAGCAAATGTTTGATCCTCTTCCCTGCAAGAACCCTAGTAGCCAGAATCTTCATTTAGTCCTGCTGTTTCCACTTAGTAATTCTTCATTTATTGATCATCTTTGATCACCTTGCTTAGAAACTCTTGTTTTTCTTTCTATATTCAGAGTTAGTCTCAATTACCTACAATGACAATCCTCTAAAAAGTTGAGGTTATCATTTTAAACAACTCCTGTGTAACTCTGCCTTATAATTTTAAACAAGTATCATGAATATGTTTTTTAATAACATTCTAGAAAACTATGAAAAGAGGAGGATTTAATAAAGGGTATTTTTGGCCAAGTTAGAGAGATAAAATTGAACTTTGAATCGGAAGTCCATGTATTTGAATTGTGAAAACAATGGCATGTATAGCTCCAGTAAATCATAAATAATGTGATAAAGATTTGGAGAATGAGAAAATTAACCTTAGTTTAAAAAAAATTTTGGAAACTATCAGAATAAGTGTACTAATGCTAATGATTTCTGACTTTAGTATAACATAAGGATTTAAGTACCCATATTGTTTAACAACATACAGATATCATTTATAACTTAACAAGAAAATTTTGTTGTTGAGTTTTATAATATATGAATGCACTTACTTTGTATGTGCCATATATATATACATATATATATATTTGTATGTACATGTATGCATATTTCACATATTAGTGTATCATATCATTTTAAGTTTCAGAGAATTGAGTAACATTCTGTTTTTTGAAGAAGACATTGAAGGCCACGGCAGATTCATTATGAACTGTTTCTGATTTACAGTTCTGGAACTTCCACAGCTAGCCCTGACATTTTAATAGTGACAAACAGTGTCAGTATTTCACAATAGATATGACACAAAGGTTTTTTGACCAATTTGCTGACAATAATATTCTTTTCAACTTTATCATCTGTTTGAAAGAAAACTTCAGTTTTACGTGAATAATCACAGAAAATAACTGCAATCTGTGTTTTACCAAAGAACACTGTCTTTCTTTGCTGTTTTCAACATTCTATGATTCTCCAACTTCTACACAAATAGAACTTCTGTTTTAATTTCTAATAGTCATTTAAAGGCCTTTACATATTTGGAACTGTAGGTGGATTAGTAGGGTTGGTTCCAAAGATCCTCTTACCTGTCCCACTACAACGTCATACAGAGTGCAAGAGAATGCCATCACTTTCTTCGGGAGATATGTAGGTAACCTTTCATACATGTAGACACAGAGCATTAGCATCATCACTGGGTTTGGATCACAGATGTCAATTGCCTAGATTTATAGGAGAAAGTCATACATTATAGAATGTATAGACAAAACAGGGTAAGTAAAGTATGATAGTAACTGAATTACATTAAAACTTTCAAAAGTGCTTCTAATCAGCAATGGAAAGAAAGTATAGCTATAAAGGCAGAAGAGTCTTCTTATTGGAAAGTACCTGACATATTAAAAGGTGAGTTAGACATAATTAGAATGCTGACCTCATAGCTTCAAAGGCTACATATAAAAGAGATTCAAAGCTCAAAAGAACATCCTATTTTAGAAATGATGATTCATGTGGATAAACTGACAGCTTTGACTTAAAATACAAAATAATGCAGTGCAAGAAATGTGACAAGTACATAAATTACTAAGCATAACAAGGGACTTTGAAGGAGGCCCGTGGGAGACAACGGCACATGAAATGTTTTAAGAGTGTTTTGTGTAGTATGAGGAAGATGCATTCTATCAGAAAGAAAAAAGTTACCACATAGTGAAGGTACAAAGAAGGAAAAAAAAAATATGGTTCTCTATATCGGGGGATGGGCTGGATAAATGAACAAGGGATAATAAGACAAAAAGCAACAAATTCAAGCAGACTAGGTAAGAGCAGTTGGAGAATTACTTTATCCACAAGAAAGAAATGCAACAAATTTAGAAAATGTAACTTCACTAATAAACAGGATAATTGTTATGGCTATCTGAACTGATCTGAAATAACATTCCAAAATCACAGAGCTATAATAAAGACAATAAGCAGTTACAATATAAGTGAAGTAAAAAAAAACAAAAACTAGAATCAGGAGGAGAATAAAGAATTTCATTGCTTTGTCCTAGAGAAAAGATAGAGTAGTACAAAAGACTATTCATAGCACAGTAATATTGGGCTTGGTAAGAGGTAAAGACTCTTATTTAGTAACTGAGTCATTTTCAGTAAACATGGCCCGCTCTGTACTTACGCAGAAATTGAGATGTAGATCTCCTGTGACTCAGCACAAACTCATGCTAGCAAATGAAAATGACTGCACCCACACTGGCAGTGCAAGTAGTGTGAGTCAAGAGCTAACATCTTATGAATTGACTGAAATTGGACAGTCATTTTCAGAGAACAATTGCTATCTGGCAGTCCAATTTTCTCATATTCTTTTCTTTCTTTAGAAGAAAAAAAGGGGGGCTTTTAAAAAATCAATTACAAGTACTGGCTAATGTAGAAATGAAAGTGTATGGTATGAATGAAAATTCCAAAAAGGAAGATACATCTGCAGAGACTAATTAGAATGTCAATTCTGTGGACAGATTGGAATATTGAAAGTTCAGGGGTCAATTATTTTAGGCTAAGTCCTCGAGATTCCTTGCCGATATATGCATAAGACCTAACATCCTGTGACTAACAGAAAACTTTTGGAATATGTTAACATAGCAGACCACATGCTCCACCCAATAAAAAACTAAGACAGATCCTAGTCCTTTAGAAAAGCTTCCACCATATCACTGTTTCTGCCAATCTAATGTACCTACCAATGTATTTGAGACTTGCCTTGATTTATGACAATTTTTGCTTGGTGAAACTATAAAACTTCATAAAATTGTTGTCATACTGTAATATGGAATTAGGGGGCAACTTAAATCTGAATCATGATCATAATTATCCCAAGACGATAATTGAGAGAAAATTTGGAAATATACCAGCATCTCAAACTGTTGCATTTTTAATGCAATTTCAAAAGTGATAGTAATAAAGAAGGAATGCAGAAAAAAGTTTGAAGTTAATAATATAAGGAGAAAATGAGAGAATTTAATTTTTACATTCATTTTTAAACTCTAAAAAGATAAATTTTACAAAGGTTTCATCTTGGCATGCATATTAGAGGAGCTTGTGATTTGACATTAATAGAGGTAATTAGGAAGAGTAGTGATATGTTTGTTAGAGAAATCAGGAACATTAGCAGAGCTTTACACCATACCCAGCTCTGCCAGAAACAAATGTCTTTAAATAACCTAGTTCACTTTTATCAACATGAAAATATACAAATAGAAATGTAGAAATTATTTCAAAAATTATTTTTGACAAATATCTAAAAAATGGGAATCCAGCAATTTAGTAAATTATAATTTTAAATAAATGGGAAAATATAAAAAAAAAACACAAAATGGAATTGTGATAAGATCACCCCCAAAAGATACATCTACATCACAGATACTATATCTATGGCACAGGGAACACAGAAGAAAAGAAGAAAAAAAAATGTTACTGTAGTCAGAACACCAGAAGTCTGTTGAAAAGAGTAAAGAGCTGCATAGACAAGACCAGCATAATAGCAATGTCAATGGAAACATAAAAGTCCTTGTCTTACAGGTTCAGTTGCCTGCATGGTGCTACTGGAAAGTGGTCAAACTTTAAAAAATAAAGATTTGTGGATGACCATGGGAAAATGGGGAGGGGTCATGCTTTAGAGAGATTATAGAATCTTGTTCTCTTCTTATTATGACTCCCAGGAAAGAGGATAAGGGTTTGCTTTATTTTGTGTGGCCATCATGACATACTGCCCTTTCTAGAAAAGGGAGGCATTTGATTTTAGACTGTAACCTCCAGTAGCATGAGCCTAAATAAACCCTTTATTATGATGATTATCTCAGTTATGTCATTACAGTGAAGAGAAATTGGTTGACTAACAAATTTTTTTTCTTAAAGATATGACAAAAAAAAAATACCACAGAAAACACTCAGCTTCTTCAGCTTTTAATGACAATGGAAAAAATAAACTCAGCTTCTTCTACACATTGCTATGCTCTTGCCTTCCTCAAGTAGATTTCATCAAACTAATGTTCATGATCAGCAACTAGATGCAATGCTGTCTTTGTTTATGATTAATTAAATATGTCCCAATGTTTGAGTTATAAAAAGCTTTCATATTAGACAACATCCAGTTATAAAAGTCTCCAGTGAGGTATTCTTTAGCCCCACAAAGCCTAATGTTTCTTACCAGTAGTTATTTCACACTTTCATGTACACAATATTTCATAATTTCAGCACAAATTGTGCTTTGGTGAATGCTGGTAATTTGAATAGGAATGGGTCCGTAGAATCAAGATTGTGTTGAATGCTTGGCCCATAGGGAGTGGCACTATTAGAAGGAATAGCCTTATTGGAGTAGGTTTGGCCTTGTTGGATGAAGTGTGCCACTGTGGGGGTAAGCTTTGAGGTCTCATATGCTCAAGCTATACCCAGTGTGGACACAGTCCTGCTACCTGAAGACCAAGATGTAGAACTCTCTCCTTCTTCTCTAGCACCATGTCTGCTTGCATGTTCTCACGTCCTGTCTCAATGATAAGGGACTAAACCTCTGAAACTGTAAGCAAGCCCCAATTAAATGTTTTTGTTTATAGGAGTTGTCATGGTCATGGTGTCTCTTCACAGCTATATATATAT